GGGCGGGCGGGCAGGCGGTAGGTAGGTCGGTAGGTCGGTAGGTGTAGGTAGCATGCATCTCCTGCGGTAACTTCACTGTGTTTTTTCCCCGTGCAGCTGCTGCTGCAGAGCTGGGACGCTTGTTCCAGAGGTAACCTGTATGAATGCGTGAGAAATTAAAAATGGCACTCCACAGTTGCCGTGAATTTCATCTTGAAAGAGGTGGTTTCACAGTACCCAGATGTCTTCATATTTTGTGTGAAATTCTCTCCTCGCAGAGGAGCAGGATTCCTACCTTCCGTAACGCAAGAAGCGTCTGCGTGTTGTGTGCCGCTTCCCCAAACAGCCCATTGCCGTCAAATTGCTATTCGGATTTCACAGAAAGGGAATAAAACCAGGAGAGCTTTGAAACTTCAATTAATTTCACGTACTGGATAGCGGACCTGGGAGATGCGCCTTTGGGCCTTGAGATGCGCCAAATCCTAGGCTAATATCCCTAAATACTAAACTATTCTTCCCACAGATACCTTGTTGTGAGTTCATTGAAAACACAGAGTTAATACAATTAAACCGTTGTAACTGAAGGAAAGACTTCAGTTCATCCGATCTCTTTTAATTGTTTTAGTGAGAGACGTGCTGCCTTACAATCACTTTTCAGAAGTGATTTTAAAGGCAGTAGCAGTAAATCAGTTTTGACAAAGCAAGCCGTTACGTATGACTGAAAACAGATGGGCTTTACGGAGTCCCATAATTTTCAAATGTCTTGGACGAGACTGGTGGTTCTCATGTGTAGCTGCATAAAGCACAGCTCTTGAACACCTTAGGCTGCCCAGTGTTGCCCATAATGCTGACCCTACTTTAGTCCCGTGCACGTTCACCGAGTAGATCATCAACGTTAATCATCTGTATACCAAGTCTGCATTTTTTTCAGAAATGAAAAGTGTTGATGTCCATTATTTCGTGAATACGGAGATTTACACAAAAGGACATTTTCCATTACAAATTATTTCACTGAAGAAATACTGACTACTTGAATTTGTTCCTTTTCCTGTCAAGCCAGGTCATACCTAGAATGATAAAAAGAATTTAGAGACTACAGCCTGATCTGGTATTTAGTTAATAGATTTTCACCTTATGCAAGTTAATTTTGTTTAGAAGATTGTAAACGGAGACGGTGGTTTTAGAGCAAAGATAACCTTCGTTTCAATACTGGCTATGGCTTAAAAACCCACCAAACTCGCTTTCAGACACCAGAACCCTCCTCAGTTCTAAAGAGATAATAACAAACTTCACGGGCGTTACAAGCTGGGTACATTCTTTTCAAAACACCAAGGTATTTTTAAAGTATGTCTCAGACCACAACACCCAGAACAACTACCTTACTTCTGATTATTAAAATTAGTTCTAATTAAATAGGCGCCTCAACTGAAATGCTCAGTAACAGCATAGGTGTGACTACAATAGAATTATTCTACTAGAGTCTCAAACAGAAACAGGCTTAAGAGATACGGGCTCCTCACACGGGCTTTTCCCAGGATTAAACCCAGACTACCCACGTCTGCCCGGAGAGGCAGCCTCGAACGCCAGCCTGGTAGGGCAAAGGTATCCTGGGCAGGAAGGGGCAGTGGAAGCCGTCAGAAATAGTTTAGGCTGGCGGTTCAAGTCGGGAGGCCTGGCCACTACCGAGGGAAGTGCTTCGACATCCGAGCGGCATCAGCCTCGAATCCTAACTGTGTGGCACAAACCACAAGGTAAATCAAAACTTCGGGATTAAAAGTGTGATTCAAACCTCTGGCACAAAGAGCTAGGACACAAAAATAGAAACTAGACAACCTGGTGCTGGTATCCGCTCAGAGCACAGGGAGCAAATACCAGGTATCGTAGTTTTTCAGTTCGGGAAAGTCCCGTCCTGACCCCACAAGAAGGGTCAAAAATAGCAGCTCCCGTGAGATCAGAGGACAACCGTGCTGGAAGCCTTGCCACCCAGAGCTTTAGAAAATCTATTTCACATTGTGCATTGATGGGGAGTAAATAAAATTGGTAAGGATGTATAAACCAGAAAGTTTCCTGGACACAGAATAGTCCATTTTTGCTACATGCAAGGGTTTATTATGCTTTTACAATTGGAGAGAATGAAGAGGAATAGTAGAGGTCATGTCAGAGTTTCGTTTCTATTGAATTGAGATTTCTCCTATTCTAATGTTTCGCTACCAGCAGTTATGATTTAATATTTTTATTACATCAAAACCCATAAATTCGTTATATCAATATTTGTAGTCACCCAATATAAAATACAAGCTTTCAAAACCATGGCTTCCAGGAATGCTTCTGTATTTACTATGAGGCGTAACTGGAAAACCAAACCAAACCAAACCAAACAAATCAGAGAAAGTGTAATATTTAAATAAAGTTTCAGAGTTTCCATTGAGGTTTTGTACAGTTCATCATGACTTCATGTTGTGCTGGACAGAAAAACCTTCATCGACTACTGCTGGAAAAGAATCAGCTCACTCAAGGAGAGCAAGCGCACACGAGTTCTCTGTCTGGTACAATAACGGACAAACTGACGTCATTATTAAAAGACAAATAATGCTGACTACATAGCAACCTGGCAGCTGTTTCAGCAGGCAGATGGGATGTCTGGTCCCGCAAATTAGCGAGACTAGCAAATTTTGGTGGGACTTAAAAGAAGATGCAGGTAGTTCAGACAAGGGTTTGGGGTTATTGTGCCTTTCAGAGATCTCGCTCCAACTACCGCGGTTACGAAGCGTGAAAAGTCATTCTCGGGAAGCCCAAATGAAGAGAGAAAAAAAAGCTTGAGTTTTGTAAGTAAACAGTAACATGTTCTCTAGCAAAAAGCTGGCCTATTGATTTCAGGCTTTTATGTCAAACAAGAACACAGACAAATATGTAAAACATTAACTAATAGCAAGAGGTTGAAACAGTTTATATCCAAACTCAGGGTAAAATGGTTTCATAATCATTTGAAATGTATGTGTATATATACACACAAAAATATTATTTTTTTTTACTTTTTATTGCAATACTTTATTCTTAAATGTATTTATATATACAAAATAATTTTTATTTAAATATACAAAGTAATTATTGGAAATACATTTTCAAACCCCTAGCAAAAACCTTGAAACTTCTGAAATATTCACAATAGCCTTAAAAAATAC